CCACCCAGACGTCTTGCCCAGCCGGCTCCAGCCCGGCACCTTGCCCTGCCGGCACCTACCAGACGTCTTTCCCTGCCGGCACCTACCAGACGTCTAGCCCTGCCGGCCCCAGCCCGGCTCCTTGCCCTGCCGGAACCTACCAGACATCTTGCCCTGCCGGCCCCAGCCCGGCTCCTTTCCCTGCCGGCCCCAGCCCGGCTCCTTGCCCTGCCGGCGCACCCCAGACGTCTTGCCCAGCCGGCCCCAGCCCGGCTCCTAGCCCCTCCGGCTCCCCTCTGGTCTTCAGCCCCGCCGGCTCCCCTCTGGTCTTCAGCCCCGCCGGCTCCCCACAGGCCTTCATCCCAGCCGGCTCCCCACAGGCCTTCATCCCCGCCGGCTCCCCACAGGCCTTCATCCCCGCCGGCTCCCCACAGGCCTTCATCCCAGCCGGCTCCCCACAGGCCTTCATCCCAGCCGGCTCCCCACAGGCCTTCATCCCAGCCGGCTCCCCACAGGCCTTCATCCCAGCCGGCTCCCCACAGGCCTTCATCCCAGCCGGCTCCCCACAGGCCTTCATCCCAGCCGGCTCCCCACAGGCCTTCATCCCAGCCGGCTCCCCACAGGCCTTCATCCCAGCCGGCTCCCCACAGGCCTTCATCCCAGCCGGCTCCCCACAGGCCTTCAGCCCTGCCGGCTCCCCAGCTGCGGCCTTCTGTCCAGCCAGCTCCCCTCAGGCCTTCTGTCCAACCGGCTCTTGTCAAGTCGCCTCCAGCCCAACCGGTTCTCTACAGACCTCCTGCCTTGTTTCCCCTCACAGACTCTCCCTGGGTCGTCCCCCCTGCTCCTCCCTGGTGTTCCCCTCTTCCACCCTGGATGGATCCTCCGGCTTCACCCTGGTTCCCTGCCGGGGCTCCCGACCCGCTGAACCCACCCTGGACTGTCCCTCCTGATCCTCCCTGGTTTTGCCCTCCCATCCCTCCCTTGTTTGTCTTGTTGGGTCTGACTTGGCTCCCCTCCCTCCCCCCTTCATGTCTTGCCTGTTCACCTCCCTGTCTTGTGTTTGTTGATGTTGCCTGTTTTGTTGTCTTGTGGTGTTTCTTGTCTGTCTTGTACCTTGTTGGATGTTCCCTTTAGGGACGCCAGGTGGCGTCCCTTTTGGGGGGGGGTAGTGTCAGGGTTCTGCCACTCTGATCTTGTAAATTCTTGTTTTGGTGGCAGATCTCGGATACTACTCGTGTCTGGTCCTGTTTCTGTCTCTGTGTGCGCGCGCGCCGTCGTGGGTGTACGCAGAGTGTGCGCGCTCCTGCTTGACGCGGCCGCGTGCGCGCTCTGCGCCCCTCAGACGCGTGCGCTCTTGTACTCGTGTTTGTGTTTTCGTCTGTCAGCAGCATGGTGTTTCATTCCCAGCGTCTCAGTCTTGTTGGTTTCGGTTTTGGTCGGCGCTGGGATGAAGCATGCATGCTGCATATGTGAGCGCATGGTGAGTGTTTTCATTCATCGTGTGCTCGTGTCTTGCGTCTTTTGTCAAAGCACATGGCTCGGTGTTTACATTGGTCACGTGCTTTTGTCGTGTGCTTCAGTGTTGTGTTATGTGAGCGCATGGCTTGTATTGTCTCTCTGTGTCATGCGCTCTCCCGTCTATTGTCTAGTCCCACCCTCCTTGTTAACCCATTATTAGTTAATTGTGTTCACCTGTGTGTCAATTTACTTTTTGCTTTATAATCCCCCTCATGTTTTCAGTCCTTTGTCAGTTCGTCGTCGATATTCCCTCTGTGTTCCTGTTCCAGTCATGTCTTGCCAGCCCAGCCAAGTTTGTCTGTTTTTGATTCATGTTTTCCCCCTCGGGGTAGTTTATTTTGCCTTTTTGTTTTATTTGTACTTCTATTATTAATAAAACCCAATTATTGTTTGCACTTGAGTCCTCGCTCCTTTTCCCCACCACGACCGTGACAATGGTAAGCTAAGCTAAAAGTGCTCCTGACTAGATATATCGGCTGAATAGATTCCAAAACGGTAAAACACAAATGTTTAACTTTACGGGGGTAAAAATTTGGGCTTTTTAAATGAAGTGTTAAAAATGGGAATGTTTGTAGCGATGATATAAAATAACTTTTTTTTTTTTTTTTTTCCCAAAAATAAACATTTCATAAATAACCTTTTATCAAGAACATTTTGTTTCTGGCTAGAGAAAATTTAATATAATCATAAATGTGTTTTATTTTAGATTTTTTTGTTTTTTAATTGTGCCAACATTCTGTTTTCTCTGAATAAGAAACATAATGTACACACATGCAAATATTAAGAATAGTAATTTCATGCTACAGATTACAGCTCACAGTTGATGGTCAATGTATCCTGGGAAAACAGCCAAATGAGGAAATGACATTTAATTGTGATTAAAAGTCTTCCTTAATGTACTGTCTGTCACACTATTAATCTAATTATGACTATGGCAGATTATGAGTAATAATCTGCTCCATTGGTATCATTTAACATGCTGATAGCTGCATCTTTGGTTATTTGCACCCCCACTATAGTGAAAATAGCACTGTTGTGTGTTTTTTATTTTTTTATTTTTAATTTTTTTTAGATTTATGCCAAAAAAAAAAAAAAAAAACATGCATTCATGATGAAAATGCACAATTTTCTGCATCATTACAGAAACTTGAAAGGATGATGTTCAGAATATGCATGAAATAAAGTGCCTTAATACATTTTCAATTGAATTTTGAAATATATATACACATACATATATTCTAAAATTGTATATATTGTAAAATATTTATTTTGCAGTTATTAGATGATTTCTGGTTGTGAAACCACTTTTTTATCTCACAGAATATTTTTGCTTGGATTTTACTTTTTTTTGTCATAACTATTATTTTAAATTTATTTTTTATTCATCAAAAAATCTACCATCATATCTAAAACCTTTTATTTTCTTTCTTTTTTGATTTGATCCCATCCGAAGCTTGGGGGCATTGATGTTTTGGATGATTTTATGTATATTACGGGTGACACAGTGGCGCAGTAGGTAGTGCAGTCGCCTCACAGCAAGAAGGTCGCTGGGTTGCTGGTTCAAACCTTGGCTCAGAGAGCGTTTCTGTGAGGAGTTCTCCCCTGCATTTGTGTGGGTTTCCTCCGGGTGTTCTGGTTTCCCCCACAGTCCAAAGACATGCGGTAAAGGTGAATTGGGTAGGCTAAATTGTCCATAGTGTGTGTGTGTGTGTTTGTGTTTCGCAAAGATGGGTTGAGGCAAGAAGGGCATGCGCTTCGTAAAAACGTGCTGGCTAAGTTGGCGGTTCATTCCGCTGTGGCAACCCATATATCATTTTCCTCTTATCTTAATTGTAATGTAAAATGCAATGGTACTACTGAATATAAACTAAACGCCTACTACATGCCTAATAACATTTGTAATGTTATATCATTTGTGTAAGCCCCACTTTTTAAGTATATCTCAACAAATCGGAATGAAATTAGAAGGATCATGTGACACACAAGAAAGTTCTCTCTCTCTCTCTCTCTCTCTCTCTCTCTCTCTCTCTCTCTCTCTCTCTCTCTCTCTGTCTCTCTCTCTCTCTCTCTCCCCCTCTTACTAAAAACACAACCTTATGCCACTGATGCTTTAGATTGCGGTGTCATCTTTGCAGAAAGCGCTGATATACAAGTTTACTGTTACCCTGTAGAGTTTAGATAGTGATCTCACTGTGCAAACATGCCTTTCTTCTGCACACACACACACACACACACACACACACACACACACACACACACACACACACACACACACACACACACAAACACACACACACACATGCGCAGGCACACAGAGCCACAGGCCTTCATCTGCAAGAGGATACTCTATGTTAGAGGTGCAACCCCCTGGGCTCTGACTAGGTCTTGAGTGGCACAATGACTAACTATTGTTCCCTCGGAGATCCCTATCAAGTTAACTGCATTTCAAAGAGACACCCAGAGACAAAGGCAAGGCCGCTGATGGGAAGACACCAGCAGAAACACCCCGTTTGCACGCAACAGAGACTGGTTTAAAGGGCTAGCTGTTAAAAATACATCCATCACCATAAAGGTAAATGAACAGGATGTTTGTCTTCAACTGCTTTAATGGTAGAGCAGTCTGAATATAATTGGTAGCATAATAACGGAAAAAAAGTTCAAGTTTAATAATAAGACGATTCTCGTGTGAACAAACAGATGAATACTATGCCCAAATGAATGAATGAATTACCGTATACTGTAAACTTATAAAAATATAAATATTTAATAAAGATAAATTTATCTATATTTATTTCTTAATGTTTATCATAACAAACAAACAAACAAATAAAAATAAAAAAATAAAAAATAAAAAAATAAATAAAAATATTAATAGTCCTCAAAAATAGTCCACTGTAGAAATAAATGTAAAACAGCAACTTCAATATCCTAAATAAATGCAGTCTAAATAAATAAATAAATAAATAAATAAATAAATAAATAAATAAATAAATAAATAAATAAATAATGGTTCCTTTCATAGGATTGATGTTGTAATGTTATTAAAATATAATCAATTGAATAAACTTTGGCATTCAATTAGTAGTTCAAACATAAAACGAGTTCAAACATATACTGGGGTAAAATAAATGTTCATATTTAAAAGACATGGGGGGGGGGGATATAATTTAATGCAGTCATTCTAAGACCCCACTTTATATCATATAGCACTCAGGCAGTGGAGATGTGTGATTTTTAAAGAAAACAAAACTTGCCTGTATTTTAGTCACATTTCTCAAGACTTGATAAAAAAAAAAAAAAAAATTTTTAAATAATAATATTATGACAAACATCACATCTAGAATGATGGAGTTAAGTAGCAGCATGTTTTAATTTATCGGTAAACTACACATTTAAAGTGACAGAACAACAGTGAACAGCACCAAACGCAATAATGCACTGTCTCTTTAAACGTAACGTGTGCAGGGGGCCCGTCTAAGCAATAAAATGGGCGTGGTTGTGATTGAAGGGGCGGGGCCGGCCGAATGATTGCTCGGAGCGGAGGTTTAGAGCAGATCTTGACACAGGAAGGATGCGGGCGGCTGTTTGAGGACTCACAGCCAGTGTGTATTGTCACAACTGAGAGATACATATGTCTCAAAGACAGAAACAACAGAAAGAAGAAAAACGGGGGAAATATTGAGCTAAAGCAGCAAGACTTTTCAAAACCACCCACTGGATAAAATCACAAGTGCATGGATAACAAGCATTAAATACTGTAAGTCATTCATTAATACATTTAAAACACGCTAAGCCAGCGTGAATGTTATTTATTAGTATGTTGGGTTTACGTTATGTTTTATGTTCGGTTTGTTGACACCTGCATTTATTATTAGTTACTATAAACAGGAGCTCCATCACTCCCCCAAGCCATGCTGAATAAGGGAGGGTCTTGTTTTTTTTTTTTTTTCCTGGAAAGCTGTCAGTCATATCCCAACAAATAAATAATGATACAACTGCCAAATATTTTCATGAATTTGCATAAAAACGTCCGTTCCCGTTGGTAGAAGCGCCTTGTGTGTGTTCATTGTTTATTTCTGAGGCTCCATCATCATCATCCTCATCCTCAGTCAGCAGTGCTCCACATGGTCAGCTGGATCATTGTTCTTTATGTGCTCATGTGCTACACTCAAGAGATGAAATATTGATTCGCGTTCTCTTCTTCCCAATCAAACAAAGCTTACATTTGCTCAATTAGCACATGTCATGTGTTGCGAAATGGTTTGGTCACAGTGAATGATGATTCTGATGTCCGTATGCATGACTGAGGGGAATAACATCCGTGTGTTAATAGGCAGTAGCATGCGTATCATAGCATTTCTTTGTTGTAAACTGAATGCATGTTTATAATCACAAATGAGAAACTAGCCTGTCTGAGGCGCGTCACAAGGGGGAAGCTCCAGCAATGTGCTCATGGCAATGGGTGAACTTGAATCTCTTGACCTACATTTATTTTCTACTGTCTTACTCAAGGAAGTTAATATGTTAAAGTATAGTGCGAAGAATAACATGCAAGAGGATGTATCTTGTGATGTATAGATCAAAACGAAATGTTTACACATGTCAAAACTGTAAAGGTGCAGTGCAGTTTTAATTATTTTCTGTTAAAACTAATGTGTCATTGCTTCTTAATAATAACTAACATTTTACCATGATATAGCCTACAGAAGACTGAACTGTCCCTTAGTCTATCAACAGTTTAGGCTAAAACGAAAGTAGGTATTTGTTGAGTATTGTAATAACAATATTTCTTGTAATGTAACATTTCTCTAGAGTAATATTTTCATTAGCTATGTTTTAAAATGATTAATTAATATAATGATTGTACTGAAATAAACTGGTGTTTCTGATAGGACTGCACAATATTGAAAAACATGTGATATTGCAATATTTTATTTTTCTGCTATAATTATGGAATAGATGGAATATTTCCACACGGTAGTATAGTTAGCACTATTTAATTGTTTTCTGTGGAGTCTAATGGAAATTGAATAAGCACAATGCAAAAAAAAAATATTTTCTTACTTTGCTTTGATTCGTTTATAGACAAAATATATTTTGTAACTTTTCTAGCTTTTCCTTAAAACTAACAAAACTATCTGTCAGTGGGGCAAGTAAAATTATCTTGTTTTTGATTTGAAATGTAGACATTTGGACTAGACAAAAATTCTATGTAATTTTTTCTCTTTTAGGCATAAATTGTGTAAATTCCATACAAACACAGTAATAAATACAATTGTGTAGCTCACAGTCACATATAACACAAAATATGACTCAACATTGCACATCTTGTGATGTGACTATTGTGGATTCAAGCATTGCTATATCGATGCTGAAACTATATATTATGCAGCCTTAGTTTCTGGTCTAAATACATCTATTTCAGGCTAAAAAAAACTTGACTTTAAAACACTATGAAATGCTAAAAAACCTCAGCAGATATTTAAATGCTTATTTACTGTTGTCATTTTCCTTGCCTTTTTTACTCCTGCCATTGGTACTTATTTTAAGTGGCATGTTCAATAAAGCCAGATTAGTTCAGTTTCAGATAATTTGCACCAATTCCGATTTATAGGTAACATGAAGGTAGCTCAGCTCAGCTCCTTTATGGGAATAACAAGTGATTCAATTTGAGTTGCCTTCATGGTATCATGAAGCCAAGATTGGGTTAAACTAAATTTAAACTTAACTGGCTAGCCAGCTAATCCAGCTTCAGGGTTCATGCCCCAGGTCTCTGCTCTGATACCTGTTCAACTTTTGGACAGTCTAGCCATAAGAGCACTGAACTAGAGAGGTGGTAGCTATCTGATTGGTCAAATTTGGATAATGCTGAATTTTGATATATTGTGCAGCCCTACAAAAAACTTTCAGGCCAATTTTAAAAAGCAATTTTATGACATATTAAAAGACTATTAATAGTGCGTTCAAAATCAATATCAATTTTACCAGACAATATTTATTTCAGTATGTGATTTTGGCAGCTGTTTTTGTAGATTCTCAGTAAACTTTAGCTCTGAAAATACCACATTTAATGACATATTTACTATTAAATCACTTACAGATTATTCAGTAGTTGTATTATTAGTCATGCTAAATCAATGAAAGTAGTTAAATCTACTGTTTATATTGAAATTCTTTGAGGATTTCCTGGGTTCCTTCTATGTGGGTGTTTGAAGAAAGCCTTTGGGAGGGTATTTACAACTGATCACACAACTGTGCTTTCCTGACAAGATGTGAATGACCACCACGGCCTTGCTTAACCACATTCATGATTTCCTTTTTGATTAATTGCGCAGGCCTAATGTACATTAAACATGCATTGCACTAATGCTCTCTGGTTTCAAACATTAGTGGTTCATGTTCAATGTTATGTTCACTTAGTAGTCAACATTAAAAAAAAAAGAATAATAAATAAATAAATAAATAAATATATATATATATATATATATATATATATATATATATATATATTAATAAAATAAACAAAAAAATAAACAAGTTTTTTAAAATTGTCCTGAGATAAGATTTCTGTAGCACTTTTTACAATGTATATTGTGTATTGTGAACACACATTATGTGTGTTGATTAATGTTCATACATAGGACTTTGACAGTTAGAACATTATAGTTCTAGTGCATTTTTAATTCAATTAAATTTTATAATCATACAATCTTAAACAAATCCTGTACGTTATAATATAATTATACTATACATTAAAAGGGTGTAACAATACACCAAAGGGAAGATTCGGTTCGGTTCACGGTTTTGGAGCCATGGTTCGGTTTGTTTTTGCTGTGGGGTTAGGGTTGATGTCATTTTAACAGCAATGATAAGGAACAATATATTTACTTTATTAACAAGAACAACTAAACTTTTTTTTAATAACTTTGCCATCACATTTTCAGCAGTCAGGATACCCGAGGAAACAACATAAATTAAATAAATATCTCCAATTTAGACTAGTCAGAAAAAAAACAATTCTCTGTAGTGCAATCATCTTAACTAAGTAAACTAAAATTAAATAAATAACTGCAGTGTAGACTAGTGAAAGATAAACAGGCTGGTCCTCTCTAAGGACATTTGGAATATTCAATTAAGTTTCAAGTTCTTTTTCAAAAACACCACAATGTCCACATTCTCAGGTGAGAGGCTTGATCTCTGTGCAGACACAGACATAGTGATGCTCATTTTTTATAATCTAAGCTTTCATTTAGATAGATAGGTTTATGTTTAAATTAATGAAAAAAATATTCATATAATGTGTTTGTAAATTTTTTTTATGTGACATATTCACCAGTAAAATACATTGTAGTTTTGTCTGAAACTAATGTTACAGTTGTAGCCGTATATAGGTTGTATTTTTGCCTCCTGTTAGTGATACGCGGATGACGGTTATATCCGCAGGTGCTGCGGATAATCCGTTGGTCGGGTGATAAAAAAATACATTATGATTAATTGCTGGACAGTTGCGGGTGGATGTAGTGGGACATGGCAGTGGACCATCAACAAAGCAGAGAGTGGGCTTTGCAGAATGGGAAGATATGAGATGCCCAATAATAATGGATGAATTGCAAGAGTAGCCTACTGTTTAAAGTTTCAGTTTGAGGAGTCATCAGAGGAAAATCTGCACAAGAGAAACAAGATCACTTATTTCCACTACCGCAGCACCTTGCGAAGAGAATCTTATTCATTCGTACAACATGTGGTGCGAGCAAACGCTTATTTAGTGCAGCTGGCTGCGTTTTGGAGGCGAAGTGGAATCGCCCGAATCCAGGCACAGTGGATGCTATTCTGTTTTTGCACAGTGCGAAGAAAAAGGCCAAGTAAACATAAAATAGCTGCCGTTTAGGCTGAAGTTGCACCGTTTTTGTTATCTTGTTCCTGATCTGAAAAGCTAAAAAGTCTTATTTTTACTTTCTGTATCTATTTGAAAATGAAGAAAATGTTGTGACAAACTTTTGTTTTTATAAATAAATGTTTATTTAAAAATGTTTAAGAATAATGTATTATTTTACTATCAGAGATGCCCAGATTAGCTCACTGAATCTGCTGTTAATATCCACGGTGACTTTTCATCATACCTAAAGAATTAAATTACTAAAATGACGACCGGGTGCGGATACATATATCAGATAAAACTATATGTGTATGGATGATTAGAATGAAGACACGGATTCGGGTGTCAGTTTAGCTGATCCACGCATCTGTACCTTCTGTTCTCTCTCTCTCTTTCTCTTCCTCTCTCTCGCTCTCTCCATGCCTGTCATTTCTGTAGGTCCGCCTCCTGATTGGTCAGGAGACCGATCTATCATCATTAGGCGATGTGGTGGGAGGGTATAAAAAGGACGTCAGGAAAAGCGGTAAAAATTGCTTTTTCCTTATTTGATCTCGTTTTTGTGTATTTTGCTGACATGATTCCTCATTTAAAAAAAAAAAAAAAAACTTTTCAGATAGTTTATTTTTCTAATCGCATTAACTCTGTGGTTGGTAGTTTTGGAAAATACAAACAGAGGTTTCAATAGAATCTTAACATATGTTTTTTATGTGAATTTGTTTTTTTAAGATTTTACTGCAAATGTCACATCCATAACATTGGAATTGCTTGTAATATAATTAAATACAAGCACAAATCTTTGTCAGTAAGTGATTTTAATGGCCTATTCACCAAATGAACTCGTGTTTGACTTTGGCAATAGCATATGGGGCAACAGTCGGGTGCATCTGAAGGTCAGTGTTTGCACATGTGCATGTGTACCGCTGATAAATGTCCCATTTGTTTGTTTAGTTCCAGAAGTTCAGCACTTGCTGGTCATCCTGGTACTCGGGTTAATGTGTTTGCCATTTCATCAATTGCCTCAACTAAACAGACCGTGAGGAACAGATGCACATGCTCACATAAGCTTCCATTTGTTCAATCAATGATTTTTAATCTTGAAATGCAAAAACATTACTTATTCAGTTACTAAAATGCATACAAAACTCGGCATTATTTTTACCTGCCTTTCTGTCAGAATTAGCAATAGTGTGTGTTTGCTTCTGGAAGTCTTAGGCACTTTCAGTGTTTTTGTAGGATTCCTCTTATTTGCACTTGGCTAGTGTGCTGTGAACCTCATTACTGTACTGCGTTCAACAGCTGCCTTGGGGCTTTTTTCTGAAGTAACTTAATTATGAAATGTTTTGTCAGCCTCTGTGGATTTGAATGCACAAAAACATAGTCAGTTAATTCTTTTGTTTGCATTTTATATAGAATATAACCTACCACTTTATTAGGTACACCTTACTAGTACCAGGGTTGGATCCCCTTTTGCCTTTAGAACTGCCTTAATCCTTCTTGGCATAGATTCAACAAAGTAGTGGAAATATTCCTCAGAGATTTTGGTCTATATTGACATGATTGCATGACGCAGTTTTTGCAGATTTTTTCGGCTGCACATCCATGATGCGATTCTACTGTTCCACCACATCCCAAAAGTGCTTTAGTGGATTGATATCAAGTGACTGTGGAGGTCATTTCAAAGTCAAAGTCAGCTTTATTGTCAAATTTAGCCACATGTACAAGACGTATAGAGAATCGAAATTGCGTTACTCTCAGACCCAAGGTGCTTAACATTTAATATAAAAAGAAGTAGAGTTTAAAGAAAAAGTAAATTTACAGTATATACATTGTACATAAAATGTGGTATAAAAATATACATAGGTAATAAAATTTGTAAACAATACAATGACATTAAGGGAATATAGCAAATGAGTGCAAAGTAAACCAGAGTTGTGCAGATAAAGAACAGTATAGTGCAAAAAGCCTTGTAAACATGATAATTGTGATAAAGTGACTGTGTCATATAGGGAGGTAGTATGGTGTGTCTGCATAAAGTGACCAGTGCAGATGAGTGTGTGTGTGTGTGTGTGTGTGTGTGTGAGTGTGTGTGAGTCAATAAGTGTGTGTGTGTGTGTGTGTGTGTGTGTGTGTGTGTGTGTGTGTGTGTGTGTGTGTCAGAGTCCAGAGGTGCATGGGGAGGAGGTGCGTGGGGAGGGAGCGGGGAGCAGAGCTGGGAGAGAGTTCAGCTTCCTGACAGCCTGATGTATGAAGCTGTCTTTCAGTCTGTTGGTCCTGGCCTGGAGACTGCACAGTCTCCTCCCTGATGGCAGCAGACTGAAGAAGCTGTGCATTTGAGTACAGTGAACTTATTGTCATGTTCAAGAAACCAGTCTGAGACTGCGCCCATAGAAATGCTGTACACTGATTTTTAATTTTTTTTTTGGACTATTCTCTTTAAACACTAGAAATGGTTGTACGTGCAAATCCCCGTAGATTAGCAGTTGCTGAAATACTCGGACCAGCCCGTCTGGCACCAACAACCATGCCACGTTCAAAATCACTTAAATTACATTTAAATCACAATTGTAGCAGATCGTCTTGACCATGTCTACCTACCTAAATACATTGAGTTACTGTCATGTGATTGGCTGATTAGAAATTTGCATTAACGAGCATTTGGACAGTTGTACTTTATAAAGTGGCCAGTGAGTGTATAATAAAAATGGATGTAATTGGCATTTAGTTGTACGCAATGCTATTAATCATTGGATTAATGACCTAATGTCTGTTTATGTGGATTGAGGATTTGAGGATGATGGTAAAATTAGTTTAATTGGTGTTAAATAAACAGTTTCCCATCAAGATTCCTTTCATTTATTTATAGACAAATTTTGGGAAATCTTATCAAAGATGTATGATGGAATTCCTTGAAATGTTTAAAACAGGCAATAAACTATGTGTTTTTAATAGACTCTATAATACAATGTGCATCTTCATAAAACAAAAGAAATGTATTAAAATACTACTTAATGGTTTTTATGCTTTGGTCAGTATTAAACAGTCCTGTTTAATATGAAATATAAATAACATAAAATTTTACTTTATCCACTCGCCACTCTTATCTAAAAGTTAAGTGTTAGCTTGAGAATAATTATATATTATGTTGTTATGTCATTATTATTTATATTTATTAAATTAATTGATTGTTTTTTGTATTATCTCGTAATATATATTTTAACCCTGTTACACTGAATGACTAAAATATTGTATCTTAGGGGGACAAAAATGTCCCCAATGAGTGTTTTTTGCATATAAGATACATTTTGTAATGTAATTTAATACATTTGGCACACAAATGTGATGTGATACCTTAAAACACTTTTTCAAATTGTGCATGATTTGTAAAGGAATGTCACATCTCATGTACAGTATATCTATCTGTATATTCGGCTTTAATAGCATAGAACATAATGTGGAGAGCTTCAGTTTGAGTCTTGTGAAGTGGTCAACTCAAGATGAAATGGCACAGTCTGATGTTTCCATTTGTTAACAAGTAATGTTTAGGTTTATTGTAATTAATTAATTTAACTTAAATTTGTACTATTGATGATAATTAAATTATTGCATGCATTAAATATGCAACTTTGGATGGAAAGCTAAAGTGATAAGAAATGCTGTTGAGAGTTGGTATTTATCACTGAGAGAGCTGTGTGAGCATGTCCTCGACCTCAACGTGTCTGTGTGTGGCTGAATAAGTGTTCAGCCTTTTCACGTTCCAGGAAATTCCACATAAACTGCATTTTTCCCCAGAACAGGGCAGTCAAAGCAGCGCTGAGCACCCGAGGCTGAAAAATGGCTGAAAGGGCCATCATTATGTAGTGTAGAATCATCACACAGATGCAGATGTTAACATGAATGAGATTAGGTAGAAATAACATGCTTGATGAAACCAATTGGAGCTGGAGATATCACATGAGATTTGTTTGACATGATACAGTGAATTTAGCCTCGTCCACATGCTCTCTTTGATCCACTGACCACTTTAAACTTTGATCTAACCTCTCTGAAAGAACCCTGGAACAAGAATTATGCACTTACTGTATAATTAGTAGCATTCGCTTTGGCTTGTATCTTTTCTTCAGATTAAACCCTAAATATCAGGATATGGTGATATGGACATTTCATATTAGGATTATAATGAAGGAAATTATTATGGTATTAACCATCATGTTGTGACTAAAAATTAGCTTAGTCACATTGTTTATGTGTGTGTATTCCAATATACATTTATTTTTCCTATTCAAGGTATTGTTTGTTAAAGCTACACTTTGAAAACTTGGTCCCACTTTATATTAAGTGGACTTAACTAATATGTACTTACACAGGAATTAATAGCTTGTTATAATGTACTTATTGTGTAAATGTACATGTATTTACTGTGTACTTATGCTTAATTAAATACATGTATGTAATTACATCTGTAATTAACTTTTGTAATTACCTTTGTAAATACACTGTTTACCATCCCTTACACACCCTTAAACCTACCCATGCCACCAAACCTGTCCATAACCCAACCTCTATCCCAACTCAAATGCACCACAAGTGTTCTCAAATTTATTAGAACACAGTAAGTACATTGTATTTATTTTTTTGATGTATGTACATAGTAGTTAAGGACACTTAATATAAAGTGGGACCGAAAACTTTCCAGTCACACAATTGCACAATGCTGTTTTTAAGGGTGCTTTTACACCTGCGAATCGATTCAATTGTTACGAAAAAGGAATTTGTGGGAACAGGGGTGGGAAGGGTGCGCTACGTATTTGTTGACCCGGAGGGAGACGTGTGATTACCGGGAGATTATCACTCTTTTGCGGGCATCGTAGAGTCTTTGTGCTTTTGCGGTAGACTCGGGATGTCTGTTGAATGACCTCCCGCCCTGCTCATAATTCTCTCTTCATGTGTGCCTATTATATCCATAAAAGACTGTTATATAACTGGGCTCGGATCGTATCGCTTTCAATCGCATTCAATCGAGCCGAGACCACCTCATTCAAGCGATCTCGGAATGATTGTTTTGGCGCGGATCCGAGAGTGATTGGTAGATTCACATATGCCAAACGAATGGCGCAAACTGGGCAAACAAGACAAAAGTCTTGGTGTGAAAGCACCCTAAAAATCCACAAAGTGTTGCGCGACTTAATGGAAATATGTAATTCATTCATTTAATCATTCAATCATTCATTCATTCATTCATTCATTTTCCTTTGGCTTAATCTCTGATTTATCAGGGGCCGCCTTGGCGTAATAAACTGCCAACTACTCTGGCATATGTTTTTATGCAGCGGTAGCTCTTCCAAACATCACCCAGTACTGGGAAGGAAAATAACAAATTGTATTTGTTTATAAATTAATTAATTTATTTATTATGTGGTTTTATTTTTGATTATTTTAATAGTATGCAGCCCACACTTTTTTAAACACACACACACACACACACACACACATATATATATATATATATTAAGGGTGGAGCCGAAC